TGACGCAACCTTGGCTCACTGCAAACTCCGCCTCCCAGGTTCAAGTGATTCTCCTGTCTCAGCCTCCTGAGTAGCTGGGATTATAGACACCTGCCACCATGCCCAGCTAATTTTTTTTTTTTTTTTTGAGACGGAGTCTCACTGTCGCCCAGGCTGGAGTGCAGTGGCGCGATCTCGGCTCACTGCAAGCTCCGCCTCCTGGGTTCACGCCATTCTCCTGCCTCAGCCTCCTGAGTAGCTGGGACTACAGGTGCCCGCCACCACGCCCAGCTAATTTTTTGTATTTTTAGTAGACATGGGGTTTCACTGTGTCAGCCACGATGGTCTCGATCTCCTGACCTCGTGATCCACCCACCTCGGCCTCCCAAAGTGCTGGGATTACAGATGCCCAGCTAATTTTTGTATTTTTAGTAGAGACGGGATTTCACCACATTGGCCAGGTTGGTCTCGAACTCCTGACCTCAGGAGATCCACCCGCCTCGGCCTTCCAAAGTGCTGGGATTACAGGCGTGAGCCACCAGGCCTGGCCTACAGGCCTCTTTTTGATGACTTGGGTTTGTTGTTGAGAACATCAGGCTGAGCTGACGGTCCTCCCTGAGCTGACGGTCCTCCCTGAGCTGACGGTCCTCCCTGAGCTGATGGCCCCCACTGAGCTGACGGCCCTACCTGAGCTGACAGTCCTCCCTGAGCTGATGGTCCTCCCTGAGCTGACGGTCCTCCCTGAGCTGACGGCCCTCACGCCCTGGGAGCAGAGGATGTTTGCCATTGTGCTTCCTTGAAGAGATCCCTGAAACCAGCTGGCCTTGTGTTTTGCTCATAAAGAGGAAGAGCTAGTTATCGGCTGCCTGGGCTCACAGCACTGCTGTCTGCGGTTGTCTTTGCTTTTGTTTTTACAAAATAATCCCTGCAAAATGATTGTCCCATCTTCCAGAAAATCATCATCTTCATGGTGGCACATGGTAGCTTTTTAGGGACAGACATGGCTCTGTCCAGGACTGGACTCTCCCACTGCTGACTGCCTCAGGGGCAAGTTCTTCCCTCACATCTGAGCCTCCAGGCTTGCCACTGTCAGGAGAGATGACCGCCACCATGGGACACTGCCACCACCCGGGGAGTCAGCCACCATCAGGGGAGACGACCGCCACCATGGGACACTGTCACCACCCGGGGAGTCAGCCACCATCAGGGGAGACGGCCACTGCCAGGGGAGACGGCCACCACCCGGGGAGTCAGCCACCATCAGGGGAGACGGCCACTGCCAGGGGAGACGGCCACCACCCGGGGAGTCAGCCACCATCAGGGGAGATGGCCACCGCCAGGGGAGACGGCCACCACCCGGGGAGTCAGCCACCATCAGGGGAGACGGCCACCGCCAGGGGAGATGGTCACTGTTCCACACATCTGACACTGGTCACTCTCCTCTTTCTGTTCTCCTTTACGTGTGACCTTATACAGAATCCAGCCCACAGCTGTACTGCAGATGTTGACCTTAATGTCACTGTGAGATGGAAAGTCCTGTGCGAACCTCCTGATGGATCATGGCATTGTGAGATGCTTTTTGTGGTGGGATCGCATTTTGCGTGGCACTGCGGTCTAAAGGTTAACTTTAGTCAAGTCACTCTGGCAGTCAGGAAGAGGATTAAGACAGCACACTAGAGGAACCATGATTCCCTGATAAGCTCTGTAGGCTGTCCAGCAATGGAATACTTCTACCCTCCTTAGAGAAGTCAAGTGATTCTGGAAGACTCTTTCATTGGAGGTTCAAAAAATTTAAAAATTAGTAAAACAAAGATGAAAGACTCCTGATCCTACAAGCTCAATCTTATCTGTAGAAGCAGTTTGCAAATAACCGTGAGAACTTCAAGTCCCGCTTCTGGCATTTGGTAATAAGCAAAGGTTTAATTCCATGGGAGCCAGAAGCGGGATCGCACGTGAAAACAGCTACTTGTCCTTAAGCCTGCAAGTCTCAGGGAAGTTGATTCCCCAGCGTTTGCTAAAAAACCATCAGGCAGTCTTCACCAAGACAGAAAAGGCTGGTCAGCCAGGGTCATAAGAACTGCTGAGAGGCGACAGCCACTCAGAAATGGGCTCGCGGTGAGAGCTGCTGGCTGCGTGACGTTTGCCTGATCCTCTCTCCGGCAGCACTCTTTAGGCTTGCATTGCTACGTCTCCCTTTGAAATAACAAAACGACCCGTCAGAGAATGCTCAGTTCTGTAAACACGTTTCACTTTTCAGTTAGCTCTGGGTCAGGGAACCATAGTACATTTTTCACCAAGGAAGCTGGAAAACCACATCCCAGAATAACTTTTCTACGCCGCTAGTTCTCTCCTGCTGCTTTGTATGAACCATGGTGTATTGTGCAGCTTCGACTTTGGTTGCTTGTTGCTGTTCTAAATGTCCTCTCCAGCCACTGGAATGGCTCTTGGCATGGTGTCTCTGCTCCAGCGTGTCATCACTGAACAGAGTGCAGTCCTCAGAGACCGCTGAAGGCGGTGGTGCCAGCCCTTGCATGACATGCTGCGATGAGCCTCACTTGGCTGGCACAGTACAAGGACTAGAGGAAACAGCTCTCAAGAGACACATCGCTGCCCTTCCAGGAATCAGAGGTTGCCCCATTTATCTCTCTGCCCTTGACACGCTCTGCTTTTGGACAGTGTCTGTGGGTCCCCCTGCAGCCACCTGCTTCTATCTTCACTGTCGTTGTTCCCTCTGTGGGCCCATTTCCTCTCCGTCTGTATTCTTTCTACCTTCTTCCTCTTTTGTGCACAGGTTTTCCAGCAGATCACGGGCTTCTGCCTGAGAAATCTCTTCCTTCTTTCAGGCCAGAGCTCTCACCAGGTAGGGCCTTTCACATGATATCTCCAGTTTTGGGGCCTGGGTCCACAATTTCTGCCTCCATTTGAGTTCAGGGGCTATTTCTTCATAGCCAGGGGCAATTTATCCTTCCTTCTTAATTTTAACCAGCATTCAGTTAAAAAACAAAAACAAAAAACCCAGCAAACAGTAGCGCTCCAGGAATAAAATATAAATAAACACTGCTTCTAACTCAGCTGCCTGCCGTGGGTACAGCTTTGCTCCCAGTGATTTCCACGACCACAGGGAACAATTCACATTCTTGCCTGCTGGAGCCAAGTTGCCCTCGTCTTCCCTACGTCTGAGCTTAGGGCCGAGTATCCACAAAACGTGGGAGACTATGCAGATAAACACTCTCTTCTGCCATAAGGTGGGAATAAACAGAAAAAGACATGTTTTATGGTTGGTTTTGCTGCAACTCATCTTTTTCTGGAAAGTGACTGACAAATAATTGGATTTTGCTCAACCCTCAAGGCAGGGTCAGTATGCATCTCTACGTTGTTCCTATAAAGAAACTAAGCTGTGTTCAAGATGCTATTGCATAACCTTCATGTTTTAATTTAAGACGACAAATAAATATTAAAGGTAAAAGAGGAAAAAAAAATCCCTAACAGAATTTTCTACTGAGGCCACCTGCAGCATCATTAATCACTCTCCCTATCCCCCCAAAACCTTCAGACCAGGTTTTGTAAGTTGAGGGGCAGGAGCCCATGAGAGCCCCCTGAAATCAGTGTGCAGGGCTGGCTAAAGAAAAGGTGGGGGTAGCAGATACAGAAGGGCCTTATTTGAAATGATGATTCAGGAGGAAGTCAACTGACCTGATTAATTTTAGTTTTTCTTCAGTGTGTGCTAAAAATACCTTAGAAAAATAAAATCCAGTGGGCTCACCAACAGCAGTTTTATTCCTGGGGTAGAGGACACAGAGGCACACATGGTGAGGAAGTTGCTGCTCTAAGAATAAGGCTGTGTGCCACCCAGTTGGCAACTCTGCCACCCGAGGCGGGTCCCCTGGCCTGCTCATGGGGCACCTGTCAGAGGAGATAGATTTGAACGAAACCAACATGGCAATGCTTCTGAAACTGACTGTGGCATAAAGCAGCTCTCTGCAGTCTCCGTGCAGAGGCACAATGTGAGCCACCTGATGCTGGCCAGGATAGTGGCAGAGCTGGAAGGCACAGTCCGCCCAGCCCTTAGAAACAGGACTTCCCTGGAGGCTCGGCAAAGTGGCAGGTGGTGTGTGAGGAGGCTGACATCTTAAAGGCTCTCAGTTTACTTCGAGAGATATAAGCATGAAAGGCACTGGCTGGTCGCAATCAACAACTAGGGCCGCAGCATCAGCGCCAGGGCAGTCGCTGAGACGGAGCAATGGTGCAGTGGGTGAGGACACAGACTCCTCCAGGTTCCACCACCTATCCGCTGTGTGCTTTCTGGCAAGTTACTCAGCTTCTCTGTGCCCTCCACTGCAAACTGGGGACCACAGTACTCATCTCACAGGGCTGTTGGGATGATTAAGTGAATTAATATTTGTAAGGCATGAAGAACAGGACCTGGCACATAGTGTTTAAATAAATGAAAAAAAATGGGAATCGAACAGGGGGAGTGTGAAAAAAGCTGACAACATCAGAATTGGTGCCTGACACTCACTCCCTGCAGCGGTGACAGTGGTGGAAGAGGGGGCGGGGCCCAGGCCCTGCCTACGAGCTGGCTAGGATGGGGTTGTGCTTCAGGGCTCCCATCGGTGCCAGGCAAATCCAGGAAAGCTGGAGACAGACACGAAGCCTGAGTCCAGCTGAGGACGGAAGGCTATGAATATAGCGCTGCTGGGTGCAAGTCCACAAAGTCCAGACCCAAAGCAGAGCTGCCCTCACTCCCTAATTGTGCGGGGGTGCTCTGCAGCTGCCCAGCTGGAGGGCGAAGTGTGCACAGGCTTCCCCTCCCTGCCTTATCGGTCCTCACTCTCTGAAGGCAGCAGGAATCCTGGCTGCTGAGGCCACAGGACTGAGGAAAGGCTGAAACCTGGCTGGTTTCCTCACCCTGTACAAGCCAGGGGCCACCGGCCTCCTCTCTCCAAGAAAAGAGGTGAGTGGGATACTCCCAGAATCTGGGGATATGGGGCTCAGAAAACAGGCTGCTTTTCTGGACTCACCACTTTGGGCTTGAACGGTGGCTGGATCTCCCTGTTCTCCAGTTTTTCCCAGTCGATCCTCCGGAAGAAAGCATGTTCTCTCACGTCCCTCTCCCCCTCAGGCCCGCAGCCCAGCCGCTTGGCCGGGTGTTTGGTCATTAGCTAGAAAAGAAAAGGAGAAAAAGAGAACAATGGATGTCAAATGCTTCCCAGAGACAGCGCTTTCCATTTGCCTAGCTCTGCCTACAGCCCTGACTTTGTGGGCGCCTGGACAGCATCTCAGAGAGCTGACCAAGACACTCAGTGGCTTGTACGGAGTGAAGCCAACTCACAAAAATAACATTGGCAAGTGCAGCCCTGCCTATGGTGGTTTTCAAGATAAGGGAACAGGGAAGCAATCTGAACCCATGGCCAAATGGAATAAGAAGAATTTAAACAGACATCTCACACGTTATCTATTTTGGAGACACCATGCTATACATGTATCTGGTAATAAAAAAAAAAACATGCAATCACTAAAAATTGTGTGTGCTGAAAGCATCACAGTCTAGCATCACAGAGGATGCCATAATAAGCATCATATGTCTATGTATTGTCTGGGCTAAAACGTTATCAATCAAAGACTCATAAATTAGAAAAATAAATGCTATAACAAGCAAGGTGACTAGTTAATTCCAACCTGCCTATTGCAGGACACAGAGACAAACAACAGCTATGAGCTCTTTGAAGGCAGACGCCAGTTCCTCCCGACCTCAGTATCTCTCCCAAGTGCCTTGCTCTTGGATGACACGTGACAAATGCCTCACAAATGATCACACTCACCAGATACTGTTAAGGGTATATTGTACTCCATCTTATTAAGCCTGAAAATAGCTTTGTGATCTAACTCTTGACCATTCAAAACTAGACAGACAAGTCATGATCAGCGACTCTATTCCTAGAGCATTTCCTCAACCAAAGTGTGTGTATATCTTCACCAAAACACACGCCCCAGAAGGTTCACAGCAGTTCTGCTTGTAACAGCCTCAAACCAAAGCAAGAATCATCCAAATATCCACCAGAAGTAGAATGGATAAGGAAACGATGGTGTGTTCACACGGCGGAACACTGCACAGCAATATGACAGGAGGAACTACAACCCCACACAACGATGCAGACAAAATCCTCAATCACGATATTGAGTGAAAGCAGCCAGGCCAGGAGCAACACTACAAGGTTCAGTTTGTGCAGAGTTCAAAACAGGCCAAGACTAATCCATGCTGTCCAAACTTCGGGGGCAGGTTATCTTGGGGCGGGGTAGTGACTGTAGATGGGACAGGAGGGGGCTTCCAGGGTGGTGGAAACACGGTTTCCTGAGCTGGGTGCAATTATACGGGTGGATTCATTTTGTGAAGATTCATTTATCAGCATATTGATGATTCGTGCCATTGCTGTATGTATGCTATAGCTCAAGAAAAGTGCAGCAAACAAAGAACTAACTAAGTCGCACCAGGTGAGACAGGCGACGAGAGCACACACTTTCTATGGGCCTCTGATGACATCTGGTAGTCCCCACCACAATTTTATGAAATGGATTAGAATGAAAAGTGCAGTACAGTCATTAGGTGACTGGGCCAGAGTCCCAGGAAGTATTGGGATTCCAATCCATTCTCCCGGCCTTCACTTTCCCCACTGTGCCCTGTGTGACACCAAGCCCCAACCGTCGACGGCCAAAATGCAGTGGTGTGGGTTTGTGGTATTTCTGCCATCTCTCTTAGAAGTGTGGGGAAAGTATTTCTCCTACCAAAGCTCTTGGTCTATGATCACAAAAGGTATCCAAATCGACTTACTCCTTTGCAGATGGAAACAGCCTCCTTGGACAAGGATTTTGGATAGGAAACGTTGTGCTCCATGATAGACTGAAACAGCTCGTCTTCATCTTCACCATCAAATGGAGGCTGTTGTGGAAAAAAAGAAAGATGGGAAGGTATTTAGGCCGAGTAATTCTTTCACATGGTACCTGAAGAGCCAATTCAGCACCAAGGAACAGACCAGGTTTCTCAGCCCCCTGCAGGCTGCACAGTTAGCTCAGTGAACTTGAGGGTTTATTTGATTATCTTTAATGAGGTTGACGGTTGTGTGTTTTTCATTTTTTCCCCTCTGTCTCGTTAATTATCTTGCCCTGGGCAACCCAAACAGTCTTCAGGGAAAGTGTTTTTGAGTAATGTTTTTAATGATTTGCAAATAAACTATGATTAATCCATTAATCTTGTAAGCATGTGCTAAAAATCTAATTATGATCAAGTTAGGTTACAGACGGCTTTGTAGTCAGAAGGTAGGGGTGGCCGGTAGAAAATGCCAACACTTTCATTTGGGGTGAAGGGGACTTGAGAACGTGGCCTAAGAGGACGTCCCCAGTAATTCACACCAGGCCTCTGACCCAACAAGGAGCTGCTTTGCTGGGGGGGGCCTTCCACCTGCACAGCGGCAGTGATGGGACCTCAGCTTCCATTGGACGACTCCTCCCTCGTCCACTTTGACTGGGTTCACAGTTACCAGGCTGAGACAGGAAGGCACGCTGGCCCCGTGGGAGCTCATGGCTTTAGAGTCAGGTGGATCTGGACCAGAATTCTAGCTCTACTAACTTCCTAGCTGGGTGTCCACAGGCAAATGACTTCGTTCTTTAAAACACAGTTCTCCAACTGATAAGATGGGCTTTCTGGGAGTAAAGTGCCTTGTATTTTGTGTTGTACCCGGTAAGTGCCCAATGAAGGCAACTTAGTGGTGCTATTATTTAAGGCAGAGCAACTTTCTTGGGAAGGGCCTTGGAATCTTCTAGGAAGAAAGGCTGAGCTCACGATGCCCTTTGAACTTTTTCCTCCAGCATGTCTGTAGTCCTGAGGGATCCATTACTTCCCTGTCACTCTGGCGGGATGGCACAGGAGGAAAGCGTTCATGGGAAATTCTGTAATGCTTCCCTTTGGCTTTGTAACCTTGAGCTTAGCATAAGAAAGGCAGAGCAGGGCCCAGCGCTTGTACAGAATCCTTTTGTTTAATCTGGAGGTGTTCCCTTCTCGTGGGAAAAAGGAGTCAGTCACTGGCTGACATGGGCAGGTCACACAGTGTTTGGCTTAAACTGAGTCCTGGATCACAGGTAACTGTGCAGTAGTCAGAAGGATGCCCTTCTTATCAAACATTTTCTCCCAAGTCAGAGGCAGCCGTTGAGCCAAGCAGATCCCTCCCCTCAACCAGCACCCACAAATCACCTCAACCTGTTCATCCAGCACCCGAGACCTGACCTCAGTCTCCTGCCCAGTCCTGAACGGGAGCCACGTGCCCTGAGGAAAAGATGCCAAGTCTATAAAGAGCCCCAGTGGGAGGACAGAGAGAGGCCTGGGTGTCTGGTACCACTCAACATTTTTTTGGTCTGGAAATACAACAGGCCTCTTTTTGTGTTGTAAGTGCCTGGTGTAAAGAAGGTTTAATTTGGCTGAAGCTACAGGTGAGTGAAGAGAGCTAAAATGAGCCTGCCTGTGAGGGACTCAGAGCAGGGCAGGGGCAGCTGGCCACAGCGACTTCCACCAGTAGGAATAACATGGAGACTGGGAGGCCCCCAGGGCAGCTTGGAGGGGCACCCACCAGGGGGTGCAGGCTGCCGACAGCCACCTGTGCCAGCAGGGACAGCCACCTGTGTCAGGAGGGACAGCCACCTGTGCCAGCAGGGACAGCCACCTGTGTCAGCAGGGGGACAGCCACCTGTGTCAGCAGGGACAGCCACCTGTGCCAGCAGGGACAGCCACCTGTGCCAGGAGGGACAGCCACCTGTGCCAGCAGGGGGACAGGTAGCTTCCATCTGTAGAGGGCAGGGCAGGCAGGCAGTGGTGGGGGAGAGCTGTGATGGAGCTACAGTGCAGGGTGGCCCTGTGTCCGCCCCACCGTATCTTCCCCACCCAACAGCACGCAGCCTGCTTCTTCTGGACACCTATTATAGGCCACCCATGACATTTTCCCTCATCACTGATCCATAAACCTGGCTGAGTTTTGGCGAAGGAGGTTTTTGTAACTAAAACAAATGTAGTGGCTGGGCGTGGTGGCTCACGCCTCTAATCCCAGCACTTCGGGAGGCCAAGGTGGGTGGATTACCTGAGGTCAGGAGTTCAAGACCAGCCTGGCCAACATGGCGAGACTTCATCTCTACTAAAAACACAAAAAATTAGCCGACTGTGGTGGCACACGCCTGTAGTCCCAGCTCCTCGGGAGGCTGAGGCATGAGAGTCACTTGAACCCAGGAGGCAGAAGTTGCAGTGAGCTGAGACTGCGCTGCTGTACTCTAGCCCGAGACAGAGCAAGACTGTTTCCAAAACAAAAACATGGCATGGTTTCTGCTCAGGGCGTGGCCTGCACCCTGCAGGGGTGCAAGGTTCCTGAACTGGCTGTGTGACACTCTCTGCAATGCAAACGTGACCTGGCGGGGAAGGGCGCAGAGGATCTGCTTCCAGGTCACTGATTGGCACCTCACCATGTGGCCCAAGAGGGCCTCTGGTCAGGGTCAGACACATACTTTCCAAGTCTTAGTGCAAAATGAAAACGGGAGTCCCTCATTTCAAAACTACGAAGAATTTCCAGATGGCAACAGCATAGCACCAAACCAAATGCAAAGCCCTGTGCGACCGTGTAGGCTGCATGCCCCCAAAGTGGGCTAAATGGGGTGCACCTTGTTGGGCAGCGACAAAGGTGCCAGCAAAATTCAACCAGCCTCTCTGGAGGTGCTTGAATCTTAGCTGCAGGAATGCTGCAGGGGCCAAGTCACAGACAATGCAAACCAAAGGCCTAAGAGAAACGTTCTCTAAGAAACACAGGTGGAGCTTCCCCAGGAATCTGGCTTGAGTAGAGCAATGAGAAGCTTCTTCTCATTTGAAGACGATTAGATCAATGCAGCTGCAGCCACCCCACCTCCAAATGTGGAAGGCCAGAAATTGTTTGGGGAACATTCTGTGCAGGGCACTGGCCTACCACATCTACTTAGTTGTCTCCTGGCAAGGGAACCAGCTTTGCCAGGTGAGCTGTCCCCACATACGCTCATTTCTGAAGGCGAATGGCTGTATCAGGGATTCGATTCTGTAGACCAAAGGAGGACTTCTACTGTCAAGTCTTCTTTGGGTCCCACTGAAGGCTGGATACGGACACTCCCCAAAGAATATTCCTCAGAACACTAATCCTACAGCATCTTCCTAGGTCCAAGTTTGCATCCTGTACCCCTCTCTGGCAATTCGCTTTAACATTTAAATTGTAAAGGCCCTGAGAAGTCCTGCAGTGAACAAAGCTGTTTAACTCAATGTGAATTCTTAGTCCAGGGCTGGAAGGATCCTCAGAGGCCTCTTAGGCTTGTGTGGTGGAATAAGATGCTTAAGCTATAACAAAGCCATAAGACCAAATGCTCCTGTGACAGAGCCTGTGCATTCCAACCTTGATGTGGCCCCAAGGATTAGGGATTCTCCGTCACCACATCCCAGGGAGGGGACATATCTCTGTCCCTCACGTTTTTCACTGCTGTGAGTCCATGTTGTCTAATGCACGTCAGGTGCTGTGCAGAGAGCTTGGGTGGCACTGCTCACTCAATCCGCAAATCAGTCTCAGGACACAGGTGCTAACCCAGACATCCTGAATTTGGAGCCCGGGGCTCTTAGCCATTATGAGCAATTCTGCCTGCCCTGCTGTGAAGGGTGACATCCAGCACTGCTCCTGGTAGGGGTGAAGTCAGGTGGGGGGGCGGGTACTCGGCTACAGGCCCACCCAGCATGTAAAGAGAACTCTGATGAGGGCAAGGGTGTTGCGGTAAATTTTAGAAGGCTGATTCACAGCCTACACAATGTGCAGTGATGAGTTCTGAAAATGAAGAGGTGGGGCAGCCCCGGGGGCCTGAGATGTTTCAAGTCATCTCATAGAGAGCGACCAGCCTCTGGGCTAGAGACCTGGCATGGTTTCCCAGCTCTAATGAATTGATGGGAATCAGGCTGGCTCCCTCCTTCCCAGCTGCTGGCCAATGCAGCTTCTGTGCTTCCCCAAATTCCTGCTGGCTGAAGATGGCATGAACCTGAAGAAGGTAAAAGAGGGCTGCTCTTGGGTGTAGGGGAGAGGAGTACTTAAGTGCCTTCTCCCAGTTTTGGAATACCATCAAATCAAAGGCATCCTTTTTCCTAATCTGTTTCCTCTGTTGCAAAGATAGAGACTTTTTTTTTTTTTTTAATTGTGATAAAACATATATAACACAGGCTGGGTGTGGTGGCTCACGCCTATAATCCCAGCACTTTGGGAGGTCGAGGCGGGCAGATCACAAGGTCAAGAGTTTGAGACCAGCCTGGCCAACATGGTGAAACCCCGTCTCTACTAAAAATACAAAAATTAGCTGGGCATGGTAGAGGGCGCCTGTAGTCCCTGTTACTTGGGAGACTGAGGCAGGAGAATTGCTTGAACCCAGGAGGCGGAGGTTGCAGTGAGCCGAGATTGCACCACTGCACTCCAGCCTGGGCGACAGAGTGAGACTGTCTCACAAAAACAACCAACCAAAAAAACAAAACCATATATATGTGTGTGTGTGTGTGTGTGTGTGTGTGTGTGTGTGTGTATGTGTGTATACGTATTATATAACACAAAATTTACCATCTTAACCACTTTTAAGTGCACTGCACTGAGGTATTAAGTACGTTCATGTTGTTCCATAACCATCATCACTGGCCATCTCCAGAACTTTTTCATCTTCCCAACTGAAACTCCACGCACAAAACAGACTCCCCATTCTCCCGTCCCCTCAGCCCCTGGCAGCCACCATTCGGCTTTCTGTCGCTATGATTTGACTACTCTAGGCATCTCATATAAGTGGGGTGATACATGTCCCTGTGACCGGCTTACTTCAAGATGTAGACTATTGGTATCTTAACTGTGCCTTCGGGGATCAGTA